AATAATAGATTTTTAGTGAGACCTTGAGATTGATATACTGTAATGCTGATACCAGAGATTGTGTTGATACCATGTGCAATTGGCAGATAGATCCTAGGCAGAAGCTGAAATAGCTGATTGTGGCCAAAAACTTGAAAGGGAGACCTCATACCCTTAGGCCAGAAATGGCAGGTTTGTTAATGCTTATCGGGAATATTACAGATTCTGTTCCATTTGCAGCATCCTAACTGAACCATACCATGTACTGGAGCCCTGGGATTCCATACTTGTGAGAATTTGTTTTATAAAACTGTTGACCAATGAAGTTTTTCTTCAGTGCACACCTTTCTCTGAAGTTGCTCAGTTGCAACTTATTTGCAGCTGAATTCGCTATAAACAGATTGTTCTATTCCTATTTTTAGTATAATAAAACGATGGAACAGAAGATTTGCATCACTTCCATGCATTCTCTATGCTGCCTATATTGCTGAATCCAATCTGTATAACCTAAATGCAATAATGTATTGCCACTCACTTTCAGAGGGAAATCAGCAGGTCTTTCATTCCACATACAGAAACAATATAAGCACTGATTAGTACAATTAGTATATCTTCCATTGTGTTCGTGGAAGAGTGGTGAGATTGGAGTGGGTGTTATTTTTACTATATTCCAACATGTCCTATGTATATGGATTTCTGCAGTAGCCAACTTTTGAAGTTTGTTTTCTGTGAATCAATGATCAGAAAGAATGGAAGGTGACTCCATTTAGCATACTGTCTGTAGCAACCCTTGCAACAGATTCCATTGACTTGGTAGAAGCTAGACTTAGAAGACAGAATAAAAGGGTTGGAAAGGACCTTGGGGTTTTATAGTCCAAACCCCTGCTCAAGCATAAGATCTTATACCAAAAGATTGTCCAATCTGTTCTTGAAAGCCTCAAATGATGGAGCACCCACAATTTCTGGAGGCAAGCTGTTCCATGATTGTCTTCACTGTCAGGAAATTTCTCCTTAGTTCTAGATTGGATCTCTCTTTAATGATCTTCCACTGGTTACTTCTTGCCCTGCCCTCTGGTGCCTTGGATACCTCTTCTCTGTGACAGTACCTTAAGTATTGGAAGACAGCTTCTGTGTCACTTGTAGTCCTTCTCTTTGTTAGAGTAGACATACCTAGTTCTTTTAGCTGTCCATTGTACAGTTTAGCCTCCAGACCCCTTATCATTCTTCTCTGTATTTTTATGAGAAATGACATGCACATTAATATCAGTATAGCAGGGCACTGGATATTGAGGAGAAAATAAACCTATTATTGTTATCCGACAGACTGGACTAAAAATATCACATCATTTATGTCTACACTAACCTTTTGTTTGTTACTTTTTCTCCCTCATACTTTGAAATTGCCCTTCTTGCAACTTCATAGCATGTTGATGGGAAACCAGTAGAACGTGATCTAGGAGAAGAGGTATATTAACTCCATTTTAACATTTACACTCTGAAAACCCATTTCTTTATTTTGTGTGTAATTTTCTTATCTGTGTTACCATGGAATGTGTGCTTGAGAATTTTTTGTATGTGGGCAGTCTGTGCAAATGAGCCAAGCTTTTATTTTTAATTTTTGCATCATAAATGTTTTAAGTTAAGTCTTAAAATTAACATTTTCTAAGGCTAATGAGTAGGTATAATAGGATGAAGTCATGTCAAAATGCTTGTGTAACTAAATATTAACACATTACTCCTTGCTTTCCTAATCTATAAATGATAAAAAAATTAGGTATTTGTAACAAATGGACTTTGTAGGCTTCTCAACAGTGGGAATAGTTAAATGGGCCATAAAAGCTATCCATGGCTATTCACCACAGAATTCAGGCACTTAACAGTGTTTCTCAACCTTGACTATTTTAAGGTATGTGGACTTCAACTCCCAGAATTCCACAGCCAGCATTGCTGGCTGTGGAATTCTGGGAGTTGAAGTCCACATGCCTTAAAATGGTCAAGGTTGAGAAACACTGACTTAGAAGATATCAAGTGTCAGATAAATTAAGGACATCCATGGTGCATCTGTTCCAGATATCACACAGATGGTGCCATTTATTTCCTTAAATAATATAGTGATTCCAGTAGCATACAAGGATAAATTAAGATAAAAATAATTACTACAGATTTTGATGTGTGGCATGTAAACATTTATATGTGATGAGCACTGCCCTCATTACTCTATTTTTAGCTGTCAAATCCTGCTCTCTGATACATTCTTTAATCCAGAAAGTCATATCTCTCCACGATAGTAGAGAATGAGCACAGTGAGAATTTCTATATTGGCCAAATATTTTTATTTCTCACCAGATAAATGCTGATAGCTGCTGACCAAAACAAGTATAGCGTATTTTAGGAATAATGCTGACTTAATTATTTTTCTCTTTTTTGTTAAAAAAAAAAATTGTAACACGCATAGAATAAAACTCATGTGAAAAGCAGCAAGTACCAAACCTTGCCAGGAAAACTTCCTCGAACAGCACACAATGGGGATAACCACTTGTACAATACACCTGCTACTCCATGTTGTATAAATGGCAGTGAGGACAACGGCATACAGAGCCTGAGTATGTACTGTGGAAACAACAATGGGCTTGCTATCTATGTGCACTTGTGTGTGGTTTAAAAATATTTTAAAAATGCTGCGGAGCAAAAATTTGGACTTGATTGTCAGAATAATGTGTTATCAAAAGTAATGAATCTTAATTTCCATCAATACGGCTCTTACACTGTAGAAAGTTGGATTTCCTAATTCTCTGAATTCAGAACTGTTAGCTTCATAATTAGTTGATGGTGGCCCTAAAATATAATTAATCTGAGAGTTTGGAGTGTCTATTGATCTGGGAAGAATTTTGTGGATACTGAATTGTTACATCCACCGCAAAGGCTAGAAATGAACAACTGCAGGGATATGCGCAGAAAAGTCACAATGGCGGCCACAACAATGTGATATGTGACACACATTAAAAACCTTGTGGACACCTCTGTTCATGATTATAACAAATCACTGTCAGACCAAGGCAGTGGTGTCCATGCCAGTGGTGTCCATGCCAGGAAAGATAACTTCCATTATTTACTTGTATTACTTTAGTTTCTTCATTCTTAATTTATCATTATTTAATACCCTGCCTACATGTTGTTGTAAACCTATTGCACCTTTTTGAATTGCTAATTAGAAATGTCATCATGTCAGCTGAAGCTACCCACAAATTTAAGTGGGGATGTAAATAATCTGCATGACTTAATGGTTGAATTCCTAAGAACTAGGCCACAGGGATCTGCCTCTGCTTTTCATTTACATTATAGAGACGCTCAAAAACTCAGGCCTGTGGAAATAATAAACAGTCCTTTTCAAATGCATAGATTCTCCTTGGAAAAAAAGATCTTTGGCCTCTCTTTATAAATACAACTGATAGCTGAGCCTAGAAGATCAGCATGGTTTGTTTTTAAGGAGGGAAAACATGCACATTTTTGCTATGGATAGTTTGCATTTTTATTTATTTTTATTTTATTTATTTATTTTTTAAATTTATATCCCGCCCTTCTCCTTGCGGACTCAGGGCGGCTAACAACCGGATAAAAATACAAAAATACAAAAATATCAACTACAAATTTAAAAGTTGATTAAAAGGGAAATATTCATAATTTTAAGTTGTACATTTCTCATAGTAAAAGATTTTCATCTGTACGTAGCACACTCTGCTCCTGAGCATTCAAATTCATCTGCTTTGCTATTTTGCCTCCTGTCCATGTTTTTATTTTTCTTCCTTTGGCTGTTTGCTTTCTCTGCTTTTCTTTAACTTTGTTTTGCTTCAATTTTACATCATCTTTGCTTCTTCATATGGCTTTCTGCTTCTTGGAATGAGTGAAGATCGCATCAGGAGTGTCAGTGCACCAATACTAGGTATTGTATACCTAACTAACATGCCACCTTTATGCTAGAAATAAATAACTTTATTGAAAATACGAATTGCAGGGAGTTGCCTTTTTTAATTGTGATTTCTGATCCAGCCAGTGAAAGCCACATATGGTCCTAATAATACAAGACTGCGTTTAGAGAGCAACACGAGGGATTCTGTGGTTTTTAATGGATACTGGACATGCTTGAAATCTGTATTTAGTGCTTCAAGAGAAAACACTTAGGTTTTGGAAAAAAAACATTTAAAATGCATCTTATTTTTGCCACTAAACCATGCAAAACATAGCTTATGGGAAAACATTTTGGCTATGTCATGCCATAGAGAATTCCGTTCATTTGAAAAATATTTTTTGCATCCATGATACAAATTAGGCTATAATTACCAATAGCCATCATGGGACACCTGCTCAATTTATAATATGATCAGTGAAGTCTTCAGCTAGCCATCCAAGGTTATAGATTAAGTCAGAAGTAGGCAACCTTTGCTCTTTTATGACCCGTGGACTTCAGCTCCCAGAATTCCTGAGCCAGCATGGCTGGCTCAGGAATTCTGGGAGCTGAAGTCCACGAGTCATAAAAGAGCAAAGGTTGTCTACCCCTGGATTAGGTAACGGTAAAGGTTTCTCCTAGAGCAGGGGTCTGCAACCTTGATAACTTTAAGACTTGTGGACTTCAGCTCCCAGAATTCCTCAGCCAGCATAACTGGCTGAGGAATTCTGGGAGCTGAAGTCCACAAGTCTTAAAGTTGTCAAGGTTGCAGACCCCTGTCCTAGAGTCTATTATGTCAACTCTAGGGGGCAGTGCCCATCCCCGTTTCTTAGCTGAGGGAGTCAGCATTGTCCAAAGCCATTTCAATGGCCATATGGCCAGCATGACTGTACACCGAGTAAATTAAGTACAAATACTTTTTTTTTTGCCCATAGAACACCAGTTTGTACATTTGAGAGGATGCAGGCTTTTATTTTTGCAAGAAACAACGGATGGAAATTTTTGCAATTTTGCCCAATATATATGAGCAGCTTTGAGTGATTTATACTCTGAGCAGCTGGAGGTTCATAGATATCCTTTGCACTCCGCAGGAGCCCCTGACCACATGGACAGCACAACTTCAGGGGAACTTTCACCCTTGTCGTCTGGAACAGTTTCAGGTGCACAGTCTCCATTATCTCCAGACAGTAAAAGAAGTCCAAAAGGAATTAAAAAAATATGGGGAAAGTAAGTATGCTCATTTATTTATTTATTTTACATTTACATTTACATTGGTCAGCACACATCATGTATTGTGTTATCAATAATAATTGATAAAATCACATAATAAAACAAAATATAAAGGGAAAATCCAGGAAACACAAGTAATAATAAATTAATGAATCCACCTGAAGAAACATTAGAAACTGTAGGATACCTGACATTAAAAATTCAGGTATTGGTATGTAAAAGTTGCTGAAAGATAAATTTCTGATGGCTTAGCATTTTTAATATCTCCATAAAAGGATACGTCGAACTCAGTCTGGAAATTTCCCTGGAGATGATCTCGGTTTAGTTGAATTTCGAAGAGGTGGTCTCCGTGCAACAGCTGGACCTCGATTATCTCGGTCAAAGGACACCAAGGGACAAAAGAGGTAGAAGATGGCTATTTATTTTGTCTGTGGCTAACTATTTGCTTAAGTGTTTAGTTCCTTGACTAAATTCACTGTGTAGTGAAAACATTGATTTATCATTATGTAGAGATTTTCAAACCAATTGGTGAGTGTGTATTTGTAATTGTACAGGATACATTCAACTGTTTAGGAACCTTTATGAGTAGTAATTCTTATTTACGCAGCTTCACTGTTAAGTGGGAATTTTTCTTTTCCCACTTATATTTGGTTGCAGTTTCTGGAGCAAGAATAATTTTTGCTTCTTTGCTTAGTCTGCTTCCCATTAACTTTAACAAAATGGACTTTGGTTGTTTGCAACTGAGTCATAGCAAGTGACCAAAGAGCAAATTCATTTGCATTTGCAATGGGATTAATATGAAATGCTAAAATCTAAATGCCATGCTGAAGCTATTGGGGTTCCATTTTTGCCAAATTAGCTCATCTGTCTGTTTCTGAGAAATATTACAATTTTATTAATATTCAAAGTCAAGTGATGCATAGCAAATTTCCTTATTCTTGAAAATAAAAACCAACTGCAAGGAAGCAAAAATATACTGGTAATTCTTTAAGGGTATAAAGTGTGATATATCTGTGCTCAAGTTTTTTCTGCATATAATTTTCCTATATTATTATGATAATAATCCTGGGATTAAGTGATTCTGACCTTAATCTGAAATGACTGACAGTTGGAAAAGTGTTATATATTTATTTATTCAATTTATCTTACAACTTAGTCCCAGTTATGGATCGCATATTGTTGATAATGATATGCTAATTTAAATCCCTTTTCCTTAATTATGGTTCTTAGTGATCATAATGCCCCATTTGCCCAATGGGGCACTGAACGTGTTTGCAACTGGCTTGAGGACTTTGGTCTTGGTCAGTATGTCATTTTTGCAAGACAGTGGATAACATCTGGCCATACACTTCTGACAGCAACACCTCAGGATATGGAAAAGGTAAACATTCTAGATTGCTAAAAGTTCTGGGTTTTTTTTCTGTTTGCTGGTGCATTCAGGTGATACTGTATATTAACACGTGAAATGTTAGTACTACTTTATGATGCCTTGGTAAGATCACATTTGGAATATTGCATCCATTTTCAGTTGCCATGATATAAAAAGATGTTGAGACTCTAGAAAGAGAGCAACAAAGAGCAACAAAGATGATTAGGGGACTGCAGGCTAAAATAAAAACAGGATAGCCAACATGATCGCCAACATCCAATAACGGATATGGAAGAAGAAGAAGAAGAAGAAGAAGAAGAAGAAGAAGAAGAAGAAGAAGAAGAAGAAGAAGAAGAAGAAGAAGAAGAAGAAGAAGAAGAAGAAGAAGAAGAAGAAGAAGAAGAAGAAGAAGAAGAAGAAGAAGAAGAAGAAGAAGAAGAAGAAGAAGAAGAAGAAGAAGAAGAAGAAGAAGAA